ATTTGCCTCTCCGCTTTGTGAGAGGACACGAAAGATGCCAGTGTGTGGGTAATTCCACCAGCTCTCTGTACAGTGGTGCTTGTCAACCAGGGCACATTCGGCAGTGTCCAGGTGTTTTTGGTTGGGCAATGGAGTTGTTCTGGATCCTGACCGTGGCAATGGCACACGAATCCTTTCCTGGAGTGAAATGGCACACACACGCGTGCGCAGATGAGGGAAAGTTACGAATATGGTGGAAACGAGATTGGGTCTGAAGTCTGGTTAGCACGTCAGTCTTTGGTTTTGATATTAAACAGCAATTTAAGGTATCACTCTTAGGAAAAGCTGAGTGAAGGGTACACAGGACTCGCTGCTATTTTTATAACTTCCTGTGAGTTTGTAATTATTTCAAAATTAAAAAAAAAAAAGGAATACTGAGAGTAGACCTAAATAAGAACCCCAGCTGTGTTCTTTGGAGAGATGCTCCCTCTCCATACCTGTGCCACTCCTGGCTCTCTCTGCTGCCATTGTGTTATGTGGTGCTAGTACATTTTCCATTGCCACTATAGACTAAATGAGCCTGGGTAATTTATTAAAAAAAAATGCCGTCCTGAGAAATCAGAAAGTTACTTTTTTAATAAAAGATTTATTTATTTATTTTGAAAGTCAGAATCTTCCATCAACTGGTTCATTCCCAGATGGCTGCAATGGCCAGCACTGGGCCAGGCCGAAGCCAGGAGCTTCATCCAGGTCTCCCACATGGCAGGAGCTCAAATACTTGAGCCATTTTCCACTGTTTTCCCAGGCCACTGGCAGGGAGCTGGATCTGAAGTAGAGCAGCTGAGACAAACCAGCACTCATCTGGGATGCCTGCATTGCAGGCAGTGGCTTGATCTGCTGTGCTACAATACCAGCCTAGCACTCACGTCTGTGAGAATTAAGCCAGTCCCTGGAACAAGTTATTAGTTCTTAATGATCTGAATCACCATTAATATATGTATTTGAAAGGCAAATAACAGGGGCAGGGAGGAAGTGGGAGGGAGAGAGAATCTTTTCATCTGCTAGTTTACTTCCCAAATGGCTACAACAGCCAGATCTGGGCCAGGTTGAAGCAGGAGCCAGGAACTCCATCCAAGTCTCCCAAATAGGTGGCAGGAGCCGCACTTGGGCCACCATCTGCTGCTTCCAGGTGCGTTAGAATGAAGCTGGATCAGAAGTGCAGCACAGGCTGGCACTGTGGCACAGGTTAATCTTCTGCCTGTGGCGCCGACATCCCACATGGGCACCAGTTCTAGTCCCAGCTACTCCTCTTCTGATCCAGCTCTCTGCTATGGCCTGGGAAACCAGTAGAAGATGGCCCAAGCCCTTGGGCCCCGGCACCTGCATGGTAGACCGGGAAAAAGCTCCTAGCTCCTAGCTTCAGCTCAGGCCGTTCCAGCCACTTTGGGAGTGACCCAGCAGATGGAGAATCTCTCTCTCTCTCCCCGCCCCTCTCTCTGTAACTCTCTCAAATAAATAAATAAAATCTTTCAAAAATCATTTTTTAAAAAAGTATAGCAGTCGGGACTTGAAACGGCACTCTGATATGGGATGCTGGCATCACATCACATTTACACCACCTTTTAAAGGCCCTACTCCCAACATCACCCTCACAGCAATCAAATGTCAACATGAGTTTTGTTGTGGACACTTGGGAAATGAGCCAGCAGATAGAGGATCTCTCACTAACCACGTCTCTTTCAAATCAGTCAATCTATGTTAAAAAAAGAAAAATGTCAATAAAGGGGCCAGTGCCGTGGCTGCCGCCTGCAGTGCCAGCATCCTATATGGGCACCAGTTCGAGTCCCAGCTGTCCTCTTTTGATCCAGCTCTCTGCTGAGGCCTGGGAAAGCAATAGAAGATGGGACCCTGCACCCGTATGAGAGACATGAAAGAAGCTCCTGGCTCCTGGCTTTGGATTGGCTCAGCTCCAGCTGTTGCAGCCATTTGGGGAGTGAACAAGAGGATGGAAGACCCCTCTCTCTCTGCCTTTCTGTAACTCAACTAAATAAATCTTAAAAAAAAAAAAAGTCAAGAAAGCTATATGAGAATAGAGGATTTAGAGAAAAAAATTTTTTAATTTGAGATGTGCAATTAGAGAGAGAGAGACAGAGAGAAAGGTCTTTCATATCCTGGTTCACTCCCCAGATGGCTGCAACAGCCAGAGCTGAGCCAATCTAGAGCCAGGAGCCAGGAGCTTCTTTCCCATCTCCCACATGGCCCAAGTACTTGGGCCATCTTCCGCTGCTTTCCCAGGCCACAGCAGAGAGCTGGATTGGAATAGGAGTAGCTGAGACATGAACCGCCACCTGTACGGGAAGCCAGCACTGCAGGCGGAGGCCTGGCCTACTACACCACAGCGCTGGCCTGGGGAGTATGTTTTTAATTAAAAAAATTTTTCATTTAAGAGGCAAAGAAACAGACTTACTGACATACAGATCTCCCATCTTCTGGTTTACTCCCCAAATGTCTGCAAGGTTTGGGCTGGGCCTGGCATTCAATCCAGGTCTCCCATTGGGGTGGCAGGAACCCAATTACTTGATCTATTACTGCTACCTTGCAGTGTCTCCACTAGCAGGAAGCTGGAGCCTAGTATCAAACCCTGATAAGCCAGATGGCTGCCCACAGTGAATTTTCTGCTAGAAAGTGTTAGGGAGTTGGCATTCGGTGTAGCAGTGAAAATACTGGTTGTGAGGCTTGAACGCCCATCACAGTGCAAGTTTGAGTCCTGGCTCCATGCCCAGTTCCAGCTTCCTATTAATGTGCTCTGTGGGAGACAGCACGTGATGACGTAAGTACTTGGGTCCCTGCCACTCATGTGGAAGACCTGGATTTGGCTCCTGGCTTCCAGCTTTAGTCTGGTCCAGCCCTGGTTGTTGTAACACCTGGGCAGTACACCAGGGGATGACAGCTCTTTCTCAAATAAATAAATGCATTTAAACATTATTTTGAAGTTATTAAACTGGTAGGGAGTCACATTTCAGTTGAGTCTTGAAGAATGGGTAAATCGATGGGGCCAAAATGGGGGCTAAGACTTTCTACTCGCAGTAAATGTGCTGAAGGCTTGGATTTCAGTAACTGGTTTGCTTGAGGACAAGACGCGACTGAAGAGCAAAGTCTTTGGGGTCAGACGGCCCTAGATAGCCCCCCACAAAGTCCAGACATTATTTTAAATGTCCTTGGGGAGTGTGACTGAAATTTTCTGATTAAAGGTTTGGATCGAAGCTTAGTTCTAGAAGGGCAACATATGGCGCCACTAAAAAAGTTTTAATTAGAGACTTTAGACTGAGGCCGAGGAATCTATAGGAGGTTGTTATTGCAATTTAGGCCGGAGTTGCTGAGGGTGTGACCCAGACCAGTAGCAGCAGAAACAGTCTAAGGTCGCGGAACATCTGCTGTGAGGAATTCCCACACGAACTGTGCAAATGACGACGATGCAAGGTAGAGGGAAAATGTGTAGACTTGGGTATCTAGGAGAGTTTCAAAGAGGAAGGAGTAACAATAGGCAAAAGGCGGGGGATGGCGTGAAGCATGACCCCAGGGGAGAAAAGCATGTGACAGGATGGGAAATATCACAGGATGAGGGCAGTTAGGCATGTGAAAGCAAGCTGCGAGTCACTCTGGATGGATGAGGCAGCCTAGCCAAAGTATGCAGGAATCACAGGAAACCAGGCACCAGAGAGCTAAGGAGGTTGTCCAGTGGTGGCACCTTCTATGTGCAGAAGTATTGATTACCGCACACTACACATAACCAAGTAACACCCATCAGCAGGGGCCCTTCTTCAGGATGGTTCACAGTACTGGCAGAAATGCAGGTGCCACCAAATGCTATCTTCATTGCAATCTATACCTTCAGAACTTCTTGTAGATACAGTCCCCACAGGCTCCTGCTAAAACAAACAAACAAAAACCCAGTGTTTATACAACAGTATTTATTCCCTAACAACGTTAACAGTTCAGGAGTGCAAAAACTGTGTGTGTGTGTGTGTGTGTGTGTGCTTAACCGGGGCCCTTGCGGGCGCTCAGGGTTTACAATTGGGCAATACTGCTTAATACAAGGTACTGGGCTGTACTTTGCTTGCAAGTCATCTTTAAACCAAACGATGACATAATTTGCAAACGCTGGCTTCTCAGAGGTACACTAACTTCCTGCTCCTGCGCGCACCGAGACAGGTTGACCGATCCTAGGTGTCACCTAAAACAGGAACTGGGATGGAGTAGGAAATGGACAGCGGCTGGGCCCCGGGGGAGCCGCCGCGACCTCGCTCGAGGGCGGGAAGCGCAGCCCCCAGCGGCGACCCCGCGGGTTGCGCAGGGGTCCCAAGCGCCCACTCCATCCTCCTCCCGCCGTGATGAACACCTTTCCCCCTCCTCCGTTAACTGTCCTCCAACTCCCGTGCCCAGAACAGCCACAACACGCCTTGACGTCTTCCACGCACGCAACACCTAGCATAGTGAAATAACAAACCCCCGCACCGCTAATTAACCCCCAGACGCTCCCCGCCACGGGTCCCGGACACGGAAACCTAAGTCGGGGAGAAGCCAGCAGGCCAGGCGAGGCGAGGCGAGGCGACTCCTCGCCCACCGCAGAGTCGGGGAGCGACGTAAAAGGGTGGGGAGACTACCGGGATCACGAGCGCGCAGGCGCACACTCGGCCGCGGCCCTCAGTGGTCGAACCCCTTTCTAGTAATTTCGCTACCCGTGACGTCATCGCGGCGCGCCGCCACAGTGCGCCCGGACACCGCGTTTTATTTTTTGGTGAAGTGTGTGTGTGTGGTGAAAGGGGAGCTGTTAAAAAAAAAATGAAAAGCCTCAACTCGCCCCATTTTGCTCTTTCTCCCACACTTTGGGCGGGAGAGGAAGAGACACCGAGCCGGAGCCCCCCAAAGCGCGCCGGCCGGGGGATGACTCGGCGCCGTCGCCGGCCGCGTTACCCGGCGTGCCCCGCGCGGCGCCGGCGCAGGAGCGTGGGGGAGGGGCGGGGAGGAGGAGGAGGAAGCGGCGGCGGCGGCTGCGGATGTCGCTGCGAGCGAGCGGCGGCTGACTCCGCGGCGGCTGCCGAGCGCCCGAGTCGGGCCTGCCTGCGCCGGCCCCCCAGCGAGCGCGGCTCCCCGGCTGCCAGGGCGGCCCCGAGGCGGCGTTGCCCTGCCTTCCCCGCCGCCCGGGCCGGCCGGCTCTGGCGTCGCCTGGCTCGCCCTCGTTCGCCCGCTCCCTCCTGCTCGCCTGAGTCACCGCCGCCGCCGCCGCCGCCATGGCCGAGAGTGGTGAAAGCGGCGGCCCTGCGGGCTCGCAGGACGGCGCCGCCGCGGCCGAAGGTGCTGGCGCCGCCGCCGCCGCCGCCTCGGCGGAGCCCAAGATCATGAAAGTCACCGTGAAGACCCCGAAGGAGAAGGAGGAGTTCGCCGTGCCCGAGAACAGCTCGGTCCAGCAGGTGAGGCGGCCGGAGCGGCCGGTTTCGGGTGGGCCTCGGGAGGTGCCGCGGGCTGCCCTGCGGGTCTCAGGCCGCCGCGGGTGGCACCCAGGTTGGGGGCTCGGTCCGCCGAGGTCCGTGTCGGGGCCGCCCCTCCGCGCCGGGCCCGGAGCCGTCCTCGCGTCCCCCGGTGCCCAGCTGCCCGCCCGCCGCCGCCTCCCCTGCAGCTCCGCACAAAGGAAAGGGACCAGCGGCTGCCTGCGGGCGGGGCCGGGGGTCCGCGCCGGTGCGGGCTGCGGTTTTGTGCGGCGGATCTTGGAGGCGGTGCGGTTGGGGTCGTGTGCGTGTGTGTGCTTTGTTCCACCTGCCCGCGGGTTGGGGTGGGTATCGGGGTGAGCAGCGCGTGCATCGCATTCTGCGTTTTGACTGCCGAAACCTTTCCTGCCTTCCAGCCTGATTTAAAAAAAAAAAAAATCGACTATGACGTAGGAATTGCTTTCAGCCACGTCTTAGGCCTAAAGGAGAGAAGCGGACGACTTTCGTTCATTGATGACTTCCTGTTTCTTTATTGTATTGCATTTGTGGTCTTTGGGATGCCCCGTCGGGTAGGGTTTTGTTTGCGTTTTAGAGGGGCTGCAGCGACTGAGCGGGTACAGCAGTCGTGAGTGGGTGAGCGGAAACAAAGTGGAGTTAGTGGAGATGAGCAGATACTCAGTGGTACGGATTCCGCGGGTCACCCGGGAAGCCCGCTCGCACGAGCACCCGGTCCCGGCCTGGGTGTGAGCTGGCCCTGGGGACGGAGCGCGGTGGGGCCGTGCTTGGTGGAGCGGTGAGGAGTGTGGGACCTCCTGATCAACTCCATCACTCTGTTTTTGTCTCCCAGCATCCTTAACAGTTTTCCTTGACATGTTTATATACGTGTAGAACGGCTGGAAGACGAGCCACGAGGGTGACCCTCGCCTGAGATCAGTGTTTTCCTGCATTCGCTCAGCTGTCTCCTCTGTTGTAATAGACTGCGTCTTGGATGTATTTCCGAGTTGCTGATGTCGGTATGTGTAAACCTGAAAGGCATTGCCAAGCATTGTGTGCGTCATTAACTTGAGGCGCCCCCCCTTTTAGGTAAATTTGACATGAAATTCACCAGGGTTGCCATTCTGTTCTCAAATGCCTTCGTCTTTGTAGGTCAAGCTGGTAACAAGGTGTAGAGTATTCTCTTCCTGACTGACTAGAAAGTTTACTCTTGCCTGTCCCAGTCAGTTCAGTCACTGCCCCACCCCCCAACTTTTGTTTTGTTTCTTGTCACCATATGTCACGTTCGCGTGTTCCAGAACTTAAGTGGAACCATACAGTATGTAATGTACTCCTCTGGGTAAGGCTCCCTCCTCCCCGCATGATGTTTGTGAGATTCATTCTTGCCTGTATGAGTAGTTACTCCTTTTAGTTGTTGTGCAGTTTCCACTGTATGGATAAACCATAATTTCTTCGCCATCGAGGGTCGCCTGGGTTTCTGGTTGGTTACTGTGCAAATCTTTCAGGGATGTCTACTTTGATCACTCATGGTCAGTGTTTAGAAATGGAACGATAGTCATAGGGCAGTTGTTCAAGTGACAACATTAAAAAGAAACTATTAGTGCTCTTACAGTTCCAGCAGTGACATATGGGAGTTCCTGTTGGTCCACAGCCCTGCTGACAGTTGACATCAGAAGTCTTCACGTGCCCACTACTTTACTGTATGTGTGACCAGATTACATTCTTGAAGCCCTTTACTTTTCTTTCTGTGTTTCTTAATTCGGACCTTCACCATCCTAGCTGTTTTCAGCATTTTACTGCAAAAGATTGAGAATAGTTAATATTTTATAAATAGAAAAATTTATGTAGGTCAGCATCTGTAAGCATGATTTTTCTTTTTTGGGATGGTGCAATTAAAATTGTAAGGTCTGTGGAAGTTTTCATTTTTACCCCCTAAAACGAAAGTGAATGTTTTAAAAAGTAATAACTGTTCATTGTATTTTTTGGAAAAGTTCATTTGAGAGGCAGAGAGCAAGTGAGTGTGTGTGAGAGCGAGCACACAGTTAGTCTCTTATCCTCTGGTTCACTTCCCAAATGCTTGGCGGGGGCCCGCATTGGGTTGGGCTGAAGTCTGAATCCCGGAATGCAATCCAAGTTTCCCATGTGGGTGGCAGGAATTCAGTGACTTCAGCCAGCACTGAGCCTTCCAGGGTCTGCGTTTGCAGGAAGAGGGAGGCAGACGTGGAACAAGGCACTCTTATGTCAATGCAGGTGTCTCAATTCCTAGGTTAAATGCCTGCACTCCCGAAGTGAATTTTTCACGGATAAATTGAAGCTTTTCTGATGTAACTTTTTCTGATGGTAGTTAATCATTAAACTTTTGGTCATTGTTTTCCTTTGAAGCAGAAAACATACTAAAAATTGAAACTCATTATTGCACCCAGAACCTGAAGATAAATTAAACTATCTGTGGTTTTGTTGGAAGAAACACACATGGGAAAATGTGCCACACCAAGGAAAAAAAGTTGTTTTTAGATGGCCTGTTTGTAAAATTCTACTTGAAGCACACACACAAAAAAAGATCTATTATTTTGTAATTTTAAGTTTTCCTTAAAGGCTTCAATAGATTTGAAATATACCCTTTTATTTTAAAAATACTTAATGATATTAAGATTTCAATAAAAATGTTGAATGAGCAATTGGGAGCTGTTTGATCCTGAAAATTCTTACCTAATTGTGGAGGGGAAGAGTATATATGAAAAATCGCTGAAGAATATTATTGAAGCCAGCCTTATGCTTTCTATCAGGCAAATCTCATTTTCTGCCATTTAAAATCTCCTTTATGGTGCAGATTCCTTTACACATCATACTAAAATGGCATTTATATATAGAGTATGTCCTAATTGGTTGAAATTATGGGTAAATTGTAAGGTGGCACTTCATTTTCATATGGTTTCTGTTTGCGTAACCAACCAGGAGGTAGAAACAGGATATCTTAATTTTACATAGTGCCATATATGGTTGGTTTTTAGTGTTACTTTTTTGAAATTGATATTAAAACTAAAGCTAGTTTCAAAATTAAAGTGAAATTTATTTTTCATAGGTCATCTGAAATCAACTGAGTAATTGAGTTTAAATTTCTGTTTAAGGGTAGCTAGAATATAAAATGCACTTTGTTTGTTACTAGGTGGTGGTGGTAATAGAGATTTTTTTTATAATAGTAGTAAATAGACTTAAAAGAAACAGATAAGTATGTAGTGGTACAAAGTCCCTGCATATGAGATTATTGTCTGTTACTCAGCTTTCAGGATTTTTTGAGCATCAACAGGCAAGATAGCATCTAGAAGAAAGGAGAGGTGTGTGTGTGAGAGAGAGATTAAAATTTGTGCAGAGAGGGCCGATGCCATGGCTCACTAGGCTAATCCTCTGCCTGTGGCACCGGCACACCGGGTTCTAGTCCCGGTCAGTGCGCCGGATTCTGTCCTGATTGCTCCTCTTCCAGTCCAGCTCTCTGCTGTAGCCCGGGAGTGAAGTGGAGATGTTTGGGCCCTGCACCCGCATGGGAAACCAGGAGGTAGCACCTGGCTCCCGGCTTCGGATTGGCGCATCATGCCGTCCATAGCAGCCATTAGGGGAGTGAACCAACGGAAGGAAGACCTTTCTCTCTAACTCTGCCTGTCAAAAAAAGAAAAAAAAAGTTGTGCAGAGAATGGAGGGAGCTTCCATGTAATTTTCACCTAGCTTATACACTAGACCTCTAGATTACTCTGTAAAATTTTGATATGTTCAGACAGTGTATATTCTGGTTTTAGAAAATATCTTCGTCACTGGAAACTTTGTGGAAGACAATATACATAAATATTGTGTTGAATCAAATCATGCCTTTGATAAGAAAAATTGCAGTGCTTCAGGGTCATCATCATAAACATTGTTTACATTATACCTTGTAATGTAGCTCTGAATGACCACCAGGCCACTGAGCATTTAAAATGTGGTTGGACTGAATTGAGATGCAAGATGTTGAACAACATAACACGTATCTTAATAGTTTTTGATGTAGTACGTGTTGAAGTAATATTTTGTACAGTTGAATAAAATAGTTCAATTAACTTGACTTTTTTTTACTTTTGCATTGTAGCTGCTTAAAGTTTTAAGATTACTTGTGAATCAGTATTGTAATAAGTTTCTTAAGGAAAAAGTGTGTGAGATCAATGTTTTCTTACTTGGCTTTGTTCTTGTATAGGACTGTTGAAAAACTTGCGATTTAATAATTCTAACATTGCTTAGCTTTTTAAAAAAATTGTGTAATTCATGTACTATACAGTTCACCCTTTTAAAGTCTATATTGGATTTTTTTTTTATCATATTCACAAGGTTGTACAACTGTCGCCACTGTACTTTCCAGCAGTTGCCCCTTGTGCCATTTCTCCCTGTGTCCCCAAGCCCTAGACAAAAACTGATGGATTTTTTTGTCTACTGATTTGCCTATTTGGGATATTTACTTTAAATGGAATCAAACAGTCTTACAGCTTTCAGTAAGCATAATGTTTTCAGAGTTCATCCACGTTGTAGTTTGTATCAGTACTTCTAATTGCCAAACACCATTTCATCATATAGATAAGTGTCACATTTCACTTTTCTTGTACCACTTAATGGTCATTATGGTTTTTCCTACTTTTCAGCTATTAGTAATGATCCCTCTACGTGAACATATTAGCTTTGTGGGTATATGTTTTATCATTTTCTCATGGGTGTAGACTTAGGAGTGGAATCACTAGGTCACATTGTAGTTCTACATTTAACTTTGAGAAATTGCCAAAGTTATTTTCCAAAGTGGCTGTAAGTTCCTACCAGCAATGCATGATGATTCCAGTTAACCACATTCTCAGTAACACTTATTTTCTGTTCTTTCAGTAATAACTACTCTGGTGTCTGTGAAGTAGCATCTCATTGTAAGGAATTGTCATTAGTACTTGAACAGTAGTTCTCATTGTGGTTTGGGGATCCCTAAT